GGGCTACACAGAGAAACCCTGTCTCGAAAAAAAAAAAAAAAAAAAAAACAACCAATGAGAAGTACTTGTTGCAGTTTAGGGGATGCTACATGGTTACATACTCATTCAAGGCACCAGAAATAAGGCCACTTCTGTTCCAGAGGGTCCTAAAGAACCTTACACAAAATGACAGAGATCAGTTTACTTCTAGCGGCTATGCAGGCTAGGAGCAATCCCACCAGACTGGATAGGCTAAACAGAGTGTCACTAAATGGCAGGAAAACAGTGCAGAAGAAAGGAGTAGTTAGTCACTCAAAGAATACAAACTAGCTCACCTTGACAAGAGAAAGTAATGAGAGAAGAGCGAGATGGTCTCACTGGGGCTAGACAGAGGAATGCCTGTCACGGACAAGCCACATGCTTCAGAAGCCGCATGCTCTCAGGCTGGAATTGTGTTCTAAGAAAATGTCTCCTTACAAGGAAAGCATGGTGAGAGAAGACACAAAAAGTAAAACTAAACATGAAAAATCAAGGTATATAGCAAAAACCTTTAAAGACAAAAAACCAAACTGATTGATTCTACAGCCTTTACTACTTTCTTTTTAAAAGTCAAGATACAAATTTTATTTTTCTGGATAGCTTACTGCCATTACCATTCTCCCAGGCTGTGGTTAAAATTCACATACAATTCTGTTAAGTTGTAAAGCCTTGAGCAGTAGTAAGAATGAAGGGCTTGTGGAAACCAGCAGAAGTATGTTCGTCAGGTTTCTCTGTGTAAAAATGTGTATTTGTCTGTGTGTGTGTGTAAAATATGGCATCTGTCACGTGTGTAAAACATAGCATGCTGTCACATGTGTAAAACATGGCATGGATGGAGGTCAGACTTTTGGCAGTTGTTTTTTCCCTTCCGTGGTGGGTTCTCAGGACCATACACAGGTCACCAGGCTTACACAAGTGCGTCTGTCTACCCACTGAGCCATTTTACTGGCCCACCCTTCACTTTCACAATCAAAGAGGCCCAGAGGCAGGGCCACCCAGCCCCATTCTTGTCACTGCTCCAAGTGTTTAGCTTGGGGGGCTTCTTAGCACACTTCTAGCCTGCTGTCTTGTTCCCTGTGTATTGGTATGTGTCCCTTTCCCCCTAATCTGTACTTTCTTTAAAGTGCTGACTTCACGGAGAGCTTTAAGGAAGAGGTACATTTCCATTAGAAGAGCCTGCGAGAAGTTGAGGAGGAAGCAGTACAGTCCCAGGACACAGACTAGAAACGGGCAGGGCACGTGTGGCGACATATCTATCGCCTACCGGCTTCAGCAGATGGGTGGCAGGAAGCTGGGCAGCACTGAGCCGTAACAGCTATGTGTGCTAGCACATTTCCTTTATCTGTTGAGATCTGACATAGCTATCAGTTTCTCCATCGTCAAAGGCGACTAAAGACTAGCTCAGAAGGCAGCAGGCCACTCTTCAATGCAATGCCTATTTTGTTACTATGAAATATCAATCAGTCAAGAAATCTCTGTATGTCTCTCTCTGTCTCTGTCACACACATACACACACACACACTTTAATAAAAAACAGACCAGAAAAAAGCCAAGGAAGAGAAATGCAACTTTGTTATTATTCTTCCTCCAGAGTAAGGAGGTACCAATAAATAAAAACCGCTTACTGATTCTGAATAAAACACATGTAAATTAGTTACTAAGTTTACACTCCAGTCATGTGGCAGGTAAAACCTGGCACACACCTGCGATCTGAATACTTTGGCTGAGGCAAAAAGTGTGCACTGGAGGCCAGCATGGCTCTCCAGTTCTTGGCTCTAACAATAAGATATTGTCTAAAAACTGGAGTCCACGCATGGCCTCCCAGGAAGTACTCAGACACTGTGCACACTGTAGCAAGCTGTGGGTCACACCTTCATTATTCACCCTCCCTGGGAGCTTTGCGTTCTTCCAGCTTCTGTGGACAGCACATCAGGCACACTCAGATCTGACAGAGAACGGGTAATGGATAAACTGAACCTGGCTAGCAAATAAAATAGAATGTTCCACGTTTCACGACACCAAGGACTACACCACATTTAAACTACTTGGTGTGTGAACGAGAGTTGACACTCACAAAGTATTCAAAGGCAAGTGCATCCCAAGAGCACTGCCCAGAAAACCTGGCTGCAGTCTTGGTTCTCCCTTGACCTCTATCAAACACACCACACATCTCATCAGCTGCTTCCCAGCAGGAGCTGTCAATTAATGAGATGCAATTCTAAATGTGGAAACAAAGCATGCAGGAACTAAAGAGGCCTAAGTTCAACACGAGAAAACCTTACAACGAACCACACAACTACATTTAGGCCAAGTGAAGAACAGGAAGACAACTCACTTGCTGTTATAAACAGCATAGTTCCATGATATAAATGACTACAATTTTTCAAGTTTGTGTTACCACATAGAATATGCACATGTGTGCACAAGTGTCAAACAGACCACTGGCTGGTTTTCATATTGTTTTAAAAATTCAGTTTTACCATATACTCCAAAACATATGTATACGCACATATGTATATCTGTATGTGTATATATGTATATACACATATATATGTATGTTGAAATGTTTTGCAAATGTATTACTTTTTAATCCAGTAGATGACAAACACCATGTGCAGACTCAATACAACTGGATCTCTTGGTACAGACGAGAGCAGCAGGTCTCTGGACACTAGAGCATCACTGTACCAAAGCAGAACAAAATACTTTTTTGTTTGTTTTTGAGACAAGGTTTCTCTGTGTAGTCCTGGCTGTTCTAGAACTTGCTCTGTAGTCTACCTGCCTCTGCCTCTTGAGTGCTGGCATAAAAGGCATTAAAGAAAACCACCACTGCCTGGAAAATTCTTAATCTGTGTTCATAACTACCTTAAAATATAAAGTTAAACTATAAACAGGTTAGCCTATTTAACAGGTAAGGTACAAATGCTATATAAAATAATTTCTTTCAGAGTATTCCACTCTAAAAGAATCCTCCTCAGCTACACTGCATCTTCACTGTCAAATAACACCATGGCACACACACTGCACAACCTGATTCTAAGGGCTGCTCTCACTCTCACCACAGGCTCAAAGGCTGCCATTCATAAGCCTACGCTGACTAGCCCACACACTCTGACCAGGCCACACTCTTAGCTTCTGCTCACCCAGCCACCTCCACCCTGCTTTCACTCTCTGCTCCTATTCCTCCCTCACACCCTAGACAACTTCCCATCCCTCTAGGCATGACTGACCTCAATCCTCTCTCCCTACAATACAGTAAGCACTTAATGTCTACCCTGAAATTATATAAATAAACACATGCATTTTCTCTAGAAGGTATTATAATCTGTGAAGAGCTTTGGATACTTTACAAAATGTTGCTTTCATGTTAATGCTTTACAACCAACACAAGAATCTCACAGTACCATTCTTAAGAACATTAGCAATTTCAATTCGGAGCTGGAGAAATAGCTCAGGGCTGGCCTATCATGTGTAGGCCCTGGGCTCAATCTCCCTTCAGCTTGGGGTGTGGTGGGAGCATCATTAGGTATACAAAAAAACTCAGCCGAAGAACATGCCCCACAATCACATGGACGAGGAGATTCTTCCTCCCCAAAAAAATGTTCAAGTAAAAACATTAAAAAAAAAAAATGCTTAAAAAAAAACTTTCCCCCAAAACAAACTCAACATACACATCTAGATTTCTAATTATTCCCCCAAAAGAACCACTGGAGAAATGCTAATTCTAGGAATATAGTAAATAAGCCTGGTGCTTCTTAGTCTTACAAAATAGTAAATTCTAAAAAAACCAAAACAAGAAGGAGTATCTGACACTGGAGCCAGTCTGAAAGCTGCTACCGGTTGAAGCTGAAATAATTTCAACAAGACAGACAGTAGTACAATCCAGTAGTACTGGACTGAGATCCCATATGGATTCAGTGACTGAACAGATGGGAAGAAACACAGACCACTTCTCGAAGCCGGAACTCAGCAAGAGGCAGAGAGAGCGCAAGGTCCTCACGGTCCACATAACACAGCCACTAGAAAGCCCGATGCAGAGTGCTGTGCTGGTTGGTGTACGCTTGTGATCCAGGCAGGTGGAGGCACAATGATCAGAGGACAGGCTGGGCTATGAGACAGTGTCTCAAAAACAAAACCACAAATAATTATGGAATCTCAAATTAGAAAACTGTACAAATGAACTCATTCAAACTTGGTTACTTAAGCATGGCATTTTAGTTAAGTTTAGACAATACTTGATCAATATAGTATAGAAAAAGTGACATTATATCAGCCACTAAAGCAAGCAGTGTACTAGATGTGCAAATACTGAAAAACAAAGGTTGGAGCTTTGGGGGTGGGGGTAATCTGTAGTTTTAACTGTTATCTTATGCCATATCTCAAATTGAAATTATTCTGCAATACCTTTGAAATATTTGTAACATAAATCCCAAAGTCACAGGGCACATGCCTGGTGGCACATGACTTCAATCCTAGCATTCAGAGAGCAGAGGAAGGGAGGAATCCTGAGTTCTAGGCCAGCCTGGTCTACAAACCAAGTTCCAGGACAGCCACAGCTACACAGAGAAACCCTATCTCAAAAACAAACAAAAACAAAACAAAAAACCCTACACCACCACCACCACCACCAAATTCCCCAAGTCTTGCTGTCATTGAGGGGTTAACCATCCTGTCCAGTGACTGGCCTAAGTATTTTGTTTTTCTTGTTGGGACCGTCAATTCTTCCCTTCTAGTATACTGTATACTGCACACAGCAAGGCTTCAGAATAACAAACACTTTGTTCATCCAGGCAGTGTCTTATAGACACAATAGTCAGATATAGGGAAAACAACAGCCAATACAAGGACTAAAAGAACTTACTTGCCATCCTCTGGATTACCAAACTATACTTCAGAGACAATTGTAAAATCAGAGAGGAAGGAGGGGGAAGAGATGATATAAAAACCTCTTAAAAGGTATAAGAAATTATAGACTAGTTTCGTTTTCTTTAACATCTTCTTTAATAAGACATTACAGCACACGTGAGGTCCCAAGTGTGTCAGCTAAACACGGGGATGAGAATGGAAACAGGTCTAATGTGAACCCCATTCCTTTTGATAACATACATACAGAATACAAACAGGTCAGTCCCTCTTGCTATTTTATATCACCTGTGAAGACACCAAAACAGTTTTTAAACAAACTTGTCTGTTAAGACTCTCCAAACTAAAGTACAGAGGCGTTTGAGTGGTCATTTCCTCCTTACAGCAGATTTAACTGAAACACAGAGTAGGACCGTGCTGGCAATCCCCATGCTCAGAAGGAAGCTCCATCAACTACTCCCTATCAGAGATACAGAGTGAAATATGGTGTCTTCAGCTGCTCATAAAACACTTTCATACAAGATTGAAAATGGTTTATTCTGAATTACAACTGTGAAACAAACAAAAGGAATTAAACCGAAAATTGCAAACAGGCTCTGAATGACCAGTTTGTTACTAAAAGAAACATACATCTGCGTAAAGCACTTTCGGAAGCTCTAAATCTGCCATTTAACTAGAATGTCTGTAAGATCCACAAGAAAACAGGTAAAACTCTTTAACTCTAGTCAGCAACATTTTAGCAAACAGTGGATACCAAGTGTGAGGCAGGAAATTAAATAAACAGATGGACTGTACTTCTGTGAGGCCAGGGACGGGGCTGCTGTGCAAACTACCAGCACTCCCTTGCTGGAGTCCAAGACTCTCCCTTTAGACACCTTCCTTCAAACTCAGGGGCATGAGCCAGGTGGTCAGAGTATGCTAAGCTGTCCACTAACTGCCCAGGCTACATCACGAGGGATCTGTTTGTTATCCACAGGTCAGGGTCGCAGCTGTCAGTATGTAATGTTCTTCCCATTACGTCAATTTCTAAACTTAAGCTGAGTTACAGCAGACTTGCTTGTCAACTACACCACCAGAACTAGTCTTCCTTAACTGGCAGAATTTACCTTATCCTACAACACTTTGCTAGTTCAGGTGAAGTCAGACTAGACAGTCTTTGATTTCAGGAGCCAACACTAAGTCTCTAAAATTAGAGTTTTATCTGAAAGACAAAGAATGTTCTGAGAATTAACCTGGAACAAATCATTCTACTCTTCCTGTTAAATGCAAAAATCCATTCATAAAATTAGCTAAATAACTTTCAAAAATTATAGTTCAATTTCAAATGAAAGAATCTGAACAATTTGCAAAGATCCCTTATAAGACACCTTAGGTCTTTATAGTTCACACTTGTTCCTTCATACGTAGTCCAGAAGGGCTCACTGGCAACCCTACCAATTTCATGAATTGAATCTGTCATCTAAAATGACTCCCAGATGGACACCCAGGAAATGATCAGAAGTGGGGAATACACGGAAGCAACAGATCAGCCAGTCAACCTGCATCAGCTGCCAAAAGAACCATGTGCACGATGTAATGAAGGAATCTGCTCTAGTTTAACAAACCTGCCGCTGAGCTGAGAAGGGAGAGAACTGCTCTTGCAACACTAGCTGAGCAACTCATTTTTATAAGGCAAATAATAAGGAAAGTTAGAACAGAATTTCTAGAACCATTTATCCTGTGGTGTTGTAAAATCAAAGCACTACTTTATTATTAAATGAGTTATTTTACACAATATGAACATCAATATAATTACAATTGTAAAAAAATTGTTATAACAAGAATGGACTGATTTTTCAGATTTCCACATCAGAGTCAACTGTACATTTACACAGAATTGTCTTTGCATGAAGCCCAAAGGGAACAGCATAAGAATGAGTGTTTCTGTAGCCCCTTTATTTTTTGCTGATCAACAGTTTGTTTAAAAAAGCAGCTGCAGGTTTGTTACCTAAGGTCTGAGACAGTAGAGAGTCAAAGGAGTCATGAATTCACCTGTGAGAGAGAAGAAAAAGCTTCAGTAACTGTAGTGACTGACAAGCATTTCAAATAACTAAAATCAAAGACGATCAAGGTGTCGGTCTCTGGTGGATTTGTCAACGGGTATTACAGGTAGGAAAAACTCTCAAACGCACATGCATATGTACCACACTATTTAGGAGGGCAAGAAATCCATCTACACATGAAATTAAAGTAATAACTTCAAGGCAGTTTCTACGGAGCATACCTATATTTTGCTCTATATTTTAATACAGAAAAGCTCTGCTAGCACTGTAATTAAGTAAAAGGATGGTAAAAAATATAGTCAGTAAATTGCTCTGACTTTCAGGGAGAAGACCCTCGTGCCTTTGAAATGATGGTTTTCTTGTAGCTGAGAAGTCTTTTATTCTTTGCTCAAAGTTGGCCAGCTCAAAGTTCCCCCCTATTTTTGGCTATAGGTGCAAAAACCTGAATGTTTCAAAGGCATAAAAAAGAAAAACTACAGAGAAAAAAGCTTTTGCCAATTTTAAAGTATTCTAGTAAAACCAGAGACAGTATTATTTAACTTTAGTGCAAAAGTCAGGCATTAAAAGTAAAAGTCTCTGCTACTGCCAGAAATCCATTCCATGGCTGAGGAGATAAGTTTTACTCCTATATTCAAAACCAAGACCAAAAAAACCCAATAGAAAGGTCAATTACCTGTAAACAACTTTATGCCTGAACATCAGCCAGTTCTGGAGGAAGTGGAGTCTTAGGGTGCTTGCTCTCAAAGTGCTGCTTGAAGGTCTTGGGGTCTGGCATTTGTGTCTAATTTAGAAAGTGTGCAAAAGAAAAGAATCAGACTTTATGTAGCAACACATAAAGCAATGCTACATGTAACCTGTTTAAAAAAAAAAAACTTTGAACTTGTTCATGATAGACTATTACTGCAAAATGCTTTTAAATTTCTACTTGTGACTGGTAAATAAAAAGTATCTTACAAAAAGGAAATTCCTAACACTTCATGTATGAAGAGGAACACATAAAATCCAGTACTTTATGTCATTGATAGCACACAGAAAGGATTTACTCATTAAGCATATCATATTAATTCTCACAGAATCTTGACAATAATCTTTAGCTTCTACTATCACGCTCATTTTACCTGACAGGGAAACTACAGCCCAGAGCTTCCTTTGCCTGAGAGCTGTTTCATTCTCCTAGTTTCACGTCACAGAATAAAACAGTGACTCCTCTTGGCAAGCACATTTACCTATAAATTCAAAACACTCTACTACATATAACAAAAATATAAAGTGTTTTCACTTATTTTATTATTTATTATGTTTTAAAAAGTGTCTTTCAGTCGGGTGGTGGTGGCTCATGCCTTTAATCCCAGCACTTGGGAGGCAGAGGCAGGCGGATTTCTGAGTTCGAGGCCAGCCTGGACTACAGAATGAGTTCCAGGACACCCAGGGCTATACAGAGAAACCCTGTCTCAAAAAACCAAAAAAAAAAAAAAAAGTCTTTCTAGGACCGGGGAGACAACTCAGCAGGTACAAGATGCTCTGACTGCGGCCTCTCAGCATCACATAAAAGCAGGCATGAGCACACATTTCATAAGCCTAGCGCTCCTGGAACAGAAGCAGGAATCTCATCTCCACAGCTTGTGGGTCAGCCAGTCTAGCCAACTGATGAGCTGTGGTTCAAAGAGAGACCCTGATTCAAAACAGTAAAGTGGGAGCAATAATGGATGACATCTGCTATCTGCACATGTATGCATACACACCTGCACACATACACTAATTCATGTACATACACACGCAGACACACGACAAAATATGCCTTTAAAGATCAGGGTATGTCTTTATTACTAACCTAGTGAAATTTAATTTCACCTTTCCTATGTCCATTTCATCATCATCATTACCAAGGTTCGACATGATCACTATACTGACTGTTAGAAACTCCCTCTCTTCATGAGAACCGTCGTGTAGTGAGGAACTCCTATTTCATTTGTAAAGATGTCAACAGATGATTACCTCCAGTCTAGCAATCATGTCGTATCAAGATCCCTTCCCATCCACACCAGCAAGCTTTATTCAAGTACAGGGCTTAAAAACAGTGTCTATACACCAGATCAACCCTATGTTTTTTCGTCTAGCACTTCATTAACCTCAAGGGTGGTGAACTCACACAGAGGCTAGCCTTTAAAGCCAGCCTGCCTAGACTCAGGTCCTATCTCTTCTTACTTGCTGGATCACCTGCAGAACTTATACAGGAGGTCACTTGTATGCTGAACTCACTCAGCAACTCACTGGTTGCTACATGGATTAAACATGTGACCACAGTAACACACCTGGCTCCATCCTCACTCATGGCAAGCACTCCAACAATCCTTACACATGGTAATGCTACTAAGAGGCCTCACTGTGAATAGTCTATGTGGTATCAACACTGCAGCTGAGGAAGATGGAGGAAAAGAGCTATCATATGGGCAGCGCTACATCCAGCAGCACTGCACAAGGTTTAGCCTTATCCACACTAAGAATGGAGACAGGACTTCTTTACAGCATCCAAACTGGATTATAAGCTCCATGAAGACACTTTTACTCTACACAAGGGCAGGGCATTGTTTGATCCTCGTTTTCCCTGCTAGCACTTAGAAATGTGTATGGCCACGGAAAAATGTTTCTTGAATGGGTGACTGTAGATGAATTCCTAGAAAGAAAAACCTCTCAAATCTACTAGTTCAAATACAGCATCCCTTTTGCTGTGGGGATTTTATCCTATTGTTTCCAGGGCGAGGGCTGGCTACAGGAAAGCAGCATGTGGGCGCCCTTACCCTGCAGACGGTGCAGGTGTATATTAAGGCAGCCTTGGCAGCAGCCTTTTGGTCATGTCCTTGTTTCTTCTTCTGTCCAGCCTGCTTTTTGGCATTTTTCTGCTGAGACTGAATCTTCTGTTGTCCACGAGCCATATCTAAAAACAAAAGATTAGGCACCAGAGTGACTTCTTCATTCTACCACAGAGCAATTTAAGCATAGTAATATTCTCAGAGTTGACTACTTAAATTTCAGACATGGTCAGTAAGCGGCATGAGTGGATTTTCAAGCTCACACACAATGCTGCTAGATGACAAATTGAGTATATTCCTCACAATACATGTTCAACAGAATCAAATAAATGTGCATCAATGTGTATACAAGGATGCTCACAGGACCTGTTCTAAACCTAGACAGTTCAGATATCAGTGGTGAAAACAGATAGAGGTAAAAACACACAGAGGAATGCCAGGCAGCATTAAAAAAAATCATTTCTAGCCAGGTGTGGACGCACACGCCTTTAACCCCAGCATTGAGGAGACAGAGGTAGACAGATCTCTGTGAGTCTGCGGTTAGCCTGTTGTACATACAGTTCTAGACCAGCCAGAGCTACAAAAAGATACCCAGTTTCAAAAACAAACAAAATAAATTATTTCTAAAAGTTTGTACCTCTATGTCAAGGGAAAAAGTCAGTTAGAAAGAAACCACATTGTACAAAGTTCAAAACAGGCAAAATCACAGTTAAAGAGATCACTTTGGTATTTATGGAGTAATGACTGGGAAGAGATGACAGAAGCATTCACAGGGTGCTGAAAATCTTCTTTATCTTACACCAGGTAATGATTATAAAGGTGCACTTGTTTAATAATAATAATAATAATAATAATAATAATAATAATACCAACACACACAGAGCTGGGCATGGAGGTGCCTCCCTACCTGAGCAATTGGAAGGCAGAAGGAGGAAGGCCACATGTCCTGGCCAACCTGGCCCACAAAGCAAGACCACATCTCACCCAGCAGACTCCCAGTTTATTGTATATGTATAGACATCTATGCCTTTTGTTTTCTTTCACGTTACATGTAACCTTCAAAAGTTTGGTACTCTGAAGTTTAGTCTTCCTTTATCATTTGATCTGATTATAAAGGTAGTTTCTCCCTGCTAACACCCACGACTGTGATTTACAATTTGTACAACATTTTAAAGTAAGTGCTGTCAGCTAATCTTCGAAAAGAGATTTGGGACACAGCAACTCCTTTTAGTACTGAGGTTTCATTAAACTATTATACTATCCGAAGTTTTCCTTAGGAGTTCTTCTTTCCTGCACAGAGACAAACACCTACACTTATGTGTGTGCACTCAGACACACAGGCTCCCCAGAGCACTGGTGGAGTCCATTCTCCTTCCACAACCTGTGTTCTGGGGATCCAACTCATACCCTCAGGCTTGACAGAAAGCACGCACCTTCACCAGCTGAGCCACCTCACTGGCCCAGCCACACACACTGTAAAGACAATTTAGAACCCTGGTATAAGGGTACCTTTTACAAAGCTGCAAGGTTCTTTCTATTCTTCACTACTAATGGCCTGGAGTAAACAAAAATGAGTTAAAACAATTATCACTGAAATGAATTATTTTCCTGTTAAAACCAGACTTCTGGTTAGAGAACACAAATTAAACCTGTTCATACAGGCTCCAGAGTAGTGCTTTTGAAGCATATTAAAATGAGATCCTATGCCATTTTAAACAGCACTGTAATTACATTTTAAACTTTGAAATCACTGAAAGACTATAGAGAGGGTTGGCCTTTGCTGACTGCAATCCTCATTAGCTACTGGATAAAGTCACAAGTGCTTCAAAGACAGTCAAGCTCTCTCCTCCATCTCCCACCCCAATGGAAACTAAACAAATACACACATACTGGGCATACTCCCACTAGTATTCCATAATCAACTGAAAAGTCTGTCCAGTCTTTCACAACTGTGAGAATGTTTAATATGCTAGCCTAATATAAGAACTTCATTCCCAACCAGGGCAAATATCAACTGTTTGTCATAAAAATTATACTTCATTTTTGTATTTTTAAACAAACACCGTATCAATTCTAAGTTCAATAGGAATATGGGGGGAGTGTGTCTCACTACGTATCTCTGGCTGGCCTGGAACTCAGAGATCTGCCTGCCTCTGCCTTCTAAGTGCTGGGATTTTAAGGAGTGTGCCACTATGCCATGTTCCAGTGGCATATTTAAAAGTACATTTTGATGGTGGATCTTCAATTTTTGTACACTAACGCATTGAAAACATTCTTAATGCCCCCCGTCTTAGTATCAGATCCTTACTAGAACATTCTGGTTGTCTAAAACATCTTAAACTCTTCCATACAGCATGGCTTATGTACATAAAGACATTACTTAGTGAACAGTCCTTAAGTGTTTTATGTTTGCTTTTTTAAGTTACAAAGCTTTACATCAGTAATTCCAGAACTTTTCTTGCCATCTGAAAATTAAAGCAGCTACTTTGATAACCTTTTCATGAAAAGTGCTGTAAAAACAATGCCATCAGATAAGCTAAAACTATTTTTTTTTTTAAGGTTCTCTGTGAGTTTCTCTGTGTAGCCCTGGCTGTCCTGGAAGTCACTCTGTAGATCAGGCTGGCCTCGAACTCAGAAATCCGCCTGCATCTGCCTCCCAAGTGCTGGGATTAAAGGCGTGCCACCACTGCCCGGCTAGCTAAAACTATTTTTAACTTTTGCATTTAAGGCTTCTCCTAAAACACAACAAAACACCTTAGATTTAACCCATTGTCTTTACCACCCAACAACAGTTACCAAAGACATGGGCTTCAATAAACACAAAATGTAACACTAGGCAAAAGAGATCTGTTCTAACAGGCTAGCTGAGTGGGGCAGGCCCCTAACTTCTGACAGCACAGTGGCACGGATTTCCTTTCTGAAAGCAGAAGTGCAAACGATCCAACCACCTGCTTTCGGACAGCTCAACTTACGATTTGCTCTCGAGATTTCGACAAAATCTTACGTATAAACTGCTCCCTGATTAAGTGGGACAAATTGAAAGGCAATAAATTGTTTGCAAACAGTTATCAGCTGGTTTTTAATACAGTTTTAGCTTTTCCAGGAGGCTGCAAATGAGCTACGAAACAGGAAGAGTTCTTGGACTATCAGGACTCTTGAGAAGGAGGCAACAAGTAAAGCTCCGGCCCTAAGTGGCCGCTTAAAGCAAAACAACTTACTCTTGAGGCCGGGTAGCCAGGAAATGGGCTCACACTCTGCAATCAGCCAAAGCAAGAGGCCCAGGCCGGCTCCGCAGCCCGATCCCAGCTTTGAACAGCCATTCGTGGGCAGACTCAACCCCACTGCTGCAGCCCGGCCCGCCCGAGGCCTCGGCTGCCCTCAGCCCCGCGCCTGCTCCGCTGGGAGTCCGCCGCCCGCCCCGGCCTCCCGCCGCCGCGTGCCTCCCGCCCCGGCTCCCGCGTCCTGCGGCGCCGCTCACCCAGGCCGGGCCGGTCTGGCGTCCGAGGGACCGCGCAGCGCGAGAAGAACTGGGCAGGACGAGCAGGGAAGGAAGGGTCGAGCCCCGCACCGCTTGGGGCCTCCGCCACCCGCAGAGGAAGAACCGAGCAGAGCCGGGAGCACAACAGCCCGCGCCTCGCACACCCGCCGCAGCGCGCGCCCGCCGCGCCTGAGCCCGAGGCAAGCCCGTCCCTCGTGCCCGCGCACGCCGCGCCGCACTCCCAGTCGCCTCAGCGCCGCCTGCCCGCCCGCGCGGTCCCGCCCCTCACCTTCCTGCGGCGGCGTTGCCCCGCCCCTCTAGCTACTCGCGTCCTTCCGGTCTGCAGACCAATGGCAGCTCTCCCCTGTTACATAAGCGCGCGGGGGCGGGGCCTAGGACGGGAACTGCAGTGCCCTCGCCCGCCTCCCTCCTTCCTGCCCGCTGTCTTGGTGCGGCCTCAGCTCTTTTCGCCCTGCCTCTGCGGCGTGTGACCTCCGGCCTGCGGGCGGTGGTCGTCGGAGTGGCTAGGCCGCCACTCCTTCGTTTCTCACTCACCCGGCCTGGCCTCGTCCCCGCCCTCTCGTTCTTCCCTGGCCAGCCGGGAGCCTTGTAAGGCGCTAGCCGGAGCGGCGGGGGAGTCGCGCCCGGGGCCCCGCGTGGCCGCCGCTCGGCGGTGACCCCATGCCAGACTCGTTGCCATTGTTCTCTCACTGGTTCCGTGCTCAGGGTATTTTGACCTACCAGGGACTTAAACATAGATGGAGACTTGAGCCTGAAAATCCGGCTAAATCCTACCGGGTTCGCTTAACCTGTTCAGGCTGCCTATTGGATTGCTAGTATTTGGGGACAGAATAAAAGGTCGCTCCCCGCCACCACTTGATTTGGACAACGTGGTAAACTTCAAATACCTGGTTAAGAGCGATTGCAATTCTAACGACGTGAACATATGCTGGTGGTTAGAAATGACGTTATAAATAGCTCCATTCGTTGCTCTTGTACTTGCAACATGCTGTTTCCCAAATTATATCTAATTAGGTTATGGGTATACTGCATTTGTGGCCTTAAAAAAATCACTATGTGGTCCACACTGTCCAAGAACTCCTGACCCTTTCACCCTCAGGGAACTACATGACTGTTACCATGTCCAGTCAGAATCTAAAATTTGCCTGGCAGTGCCTAGAGAATATTTGTTGAATATGAGGACAGTCTACTTGAACTATGATAGCCTTGTCACAATATTGTTTAAAATAGCCAGAAAGACGTGAGCCTGCTGCTTACTTGCAAGTGCAGCACAGATGGCCGTGTTTGGAGTGTGCCCATCCTTGCTTCATTTCACTTTTTACGCTCACATGCCTTTATTAAAATGTTGCGTGTTTTAAGTTTTGTTACTATTCCTGATGGTAATCTGTAAGCTCATTTTTATTAAAAGTGCTGAAAAAAATTGATACTGAACAGAGTGTGTCTAAAGAGACTGAGGTTTAGAACAGTCATGTCAAGAAGCTATAACATAATTATTAATGGTGGTCACATTATTAATCTGTCTTTGGGTTGAGAGTCTTGGAGGATCTAGACATGGGGAATGCAAAGAGCTGTTTGTCTAGCTGTGAATGACAATGGTCACTGGAACTAGACCATGAAATCTGCAGGGGTGGGTAGGGTCTGAAGACTTCTGTTGTGAAGTAGGATTGGTTTGTTGCTTTTCCTCCCCTGGCCTGAGAAAAATACTCATAAAACCTATTATTCTTTGAGTTTTTAGTCATATCTCATTCGAGAACGTGATAAAAGCTATAGGTGGAGTTCTCTATCTCAGGTCAGCGCTTTGTTAACCTGAGGAATCGCTAGGTGTTTAGTGATAGCCCTGCCTTCTACCTTGCCGAGGCCGATAGCACCCTGTTTTCACTTGAGGCAACTAAGTCTTTAAGGATGCTTACAGATGTTCCCTGGGGAATCAGTTTACAGCAGTAAACTCAAAAATGTTTCCTTTGCTGCTGCCTCTTTATCCAAACACTTTCTACTTGAGATTTTTTTGTTTTTAAGACTGCCACTCAGATCTCTTGTCTCTATGCTTTTTATCCTTGAAGGAGTCTGGCTCACTCCCTTGTTAAAGCACTATTGCCTAGAGAATATGGTGTAATGGTAATTGTGTGTGGTGATTAGGGCATTTGAAATATAAAGGAGAAACGAAACCGGAGTGGGTAGGCTGGAGCATGTGTGTGGGGACAGTTGGTAGAAGGCGGGTGTCTGAGCTTTGCCACCAGCTGGTGTCTTTCTTGCTTTGGTTACAGGAAAGTGACGGCAAACTAGATGTGAACTCTTAGGTTTCTGTGCATATTTCTGCATTTAATTTGGAATGCTACAAGTACTTCTAATAATATTTCCCCTTTTCTGCTTATAGACGGTCACTTCAAGATATTTTGTAATAAGAACTTGCTGATTTTTCTATCCAAAACCCACCTCATGAAATGAAAACGCTTCTCTGGAGATGAAAGATTAAAGACTTATTGATCTGTTTGGATGCGTGTTGGGTTCCTAGGATGAGTGAATTGATGAGTAACCAGCAGATTAGATAAGTCATTTGAAGACTTTTTTCAGTGTATCTGTTGTGGATTGATACCTAAATTAATAAAGTGACAGAGGGTTTATTAGAAAACAAAAGAGACAAGGTCCAAGGTAGGTATAGAAGCTCACACCTCTAATCCTAGTACCCAGGAGAATGAGGCAGGAAGATGGGTAGCCACAAATGTGAGAGGCTATATGTAGTGAGTTCAAGAACAGCCTGAGCTACTTGTCAGATCCTGTCTTAAAAAACAAACAAACAAACAAACAAAAAAAACCAAAATAACAACCAAAGCAAGCTCCCCGAGGGGAGGGGCTCCTGTCTCTATAGCGATTTCCTTAGAGACAACAGTAGGAAAAGTTGCTTCGCTGCCTCCTCTTTACCTGCACACCTTCTGCCTGAGGCTTTCTGAGAAGGCCACCCAGATCCTCTTGTCTCCTCTAGGACTTTTAGCCTTGAAGGAGTGTCATTCAGTCTCCTGGCTCTGAATGTCACACTCACTTGAGACGACCCCCAGCTCTCATTCCAGCCTCTCTTCTGAGTTTATACTGAAAGTTCAGAGGCCCCTGCTTACCTCTGCCTTGAAGTTTTACAGGTACTTTACATTAGTGTCAGATTGTATTGACTCTGAGAAGCCACTGACTTAAGTAATGTTTATGTGCAATAACACTTTAAAACATGCTGCCAGTTGAACTATGATGTAATACTCTTGGTTGTAAGGTAAATCTTAATTTCAGCAAAATTAAAAGAAGTTTAAACAGTAATGTAGGGTATTAGAAGTGCATCAAAAAGAGTACTTAGGCATGGCCTTACCAAGAGAGACTCAAAGCTCAAATTCTGAACACCAAGCATCACTGATGAAGGGCATTGCAGAAGATGTAAGTAAACAGGAAGACACCTTAACTCTGTAGGTCAGAAGATTCAGAATTATATGCATGTCCGTAATCTCTACATGGATCTACAAATTAAGTGTAGGCCCAACCAAAATCCTGCATACATACATCTTTGTGTATGTTGAAAACACTATCTAAATTATGGGAGCCGAGAATAGCCAAAATACTCTTAAAAACTGATGATACACACTTCCCAATTTCAAAACTTACTACAAAACTCTGGTCCTGGGTATGGCATGGTAGAGGGAGGAGGACAGCCCATACATGGTTCATGGAATTGAGAGTCCTGGGGCAAAGCCTCATAATACCACTGTGCTTTGTTCTGTTATCACATTGTCACCACTGTGGCAGAATACCCCAGGACAGTGACTCCAGTAGAGAGCAGGCCCCATGATGGCGGTCAAGAGACCATGCTCCATTGAGAAGGCTAGGCTACTCCATGACAGGCTTCCGATTAGCAGTTCAGGAGAACTCGATCTCTGTTTCCAAGAAGGCAATTGAAGGCAAGTCCAGGCCTAGAAGCTGACCTGAGGCAAGGACAGTGGGTCAGCAGAAGTTTCCAGACTTCCTCAGTAACAGTTTCCAGACCTCCCCAGCAAGTTTCCAGGCCCCTCACTCTGGCAATGGAATGTCCATAGAAGTTGGACCCAACATATTAACATAGAGGTCTCCTAACCTGGAATTCCCTAATGTGCTTTAGGCCTGCAGCTCACTTGGGTGTCTCTCTATTCTGGTAATGGGAGACCCCAACATGCTGGACTTCTGCAGAATAAAACACTCTTTGTGTTTACATACTGTTTGAGTCTGGGGTATCATTCTTCAGCGAATCATGGACCCCTACACCATCATGGTGGTGAGGAGAGTGAGATCCATCATGGCGGTGAAGAAGGCATGCTCTATCACAGTGGAGGAGGCGTGCAGGCGGGAGCAGGAGGCAGCTGATTGCTGTGCCTCTGTAGTCAGGTAGCACGCAGATGAATGCTAGTAATCAGCTCGTTTTCTCCTTATTCAGGTCAGGACTCCATACTATAGAATGGTACAGCCCCCGTTTAGGGTGAATCTTTCCACCTCAAATAGTCTAGAAAATGCCTGACAGACATGGCCAGAGGTCTGCCTCCTAAGTGGTTCTAGCTTCTGTCAAGTTGACAATTGTAACCATCAAAGCAGCGAAATAAATTTCAACACTAGCATCAAACACAATTCAGTGGGGTAAGGAAAAGTCTTTAATAACTGGTCCTGTGGTAACTAGATGTCCATGAATGAGGACAGAGTAAAGTACAAACTGCCCAAGATAACAACCCCTGTGGCAGAGTGGAGAAGCTGAGGTATTTCTGTGCGTGTCCATTTCATTGCTTGTAGGTAGCATTTAATATAACACTTGGCATGGTGTGGGAGCCCAGTATGTGCTTAGGGAATGAATGTGTGCCCTGATGATCCCTCCAAACTAGGTTAGAATGCCTACAGGACACCTCTGAGCCTGCCTTCCGCTGACAGCAGCAGTTGCCTCACTTGGTGGTTCTAGCTTGTTAAACTAGTTACACCCGTACAGCTTTGAGCACCCTGTGGTCCTGATCTATATCTTTATTAACCAGCACCTAGTGCTAGACCTGGCACATAGTAGGTACTCAGAATGTGTATGAATGGGTAAATTACAGGCAGTGGGTTATGAAAGAAATTAGAAATATCAGTGACTATTGGTGCAGCTGTGTTTGGAATGAGTGCCCTTTCTCTTGAGGGCCAACAAAGTATAATGGTAAAGGAGTTTCAAAGAACACAGAA